TAGTATTCTTCCCAGCTCAGTCACGTATACTTCCCTCTCCTTGTACCACGGACATTCCGCGACTACATGAACACGGGCTTCGCATTCGAAGCCGCAATCACATTTGAACTCGTCGTCTTCGTCGTCTACCGTCCTATGTCTTCGTCGACGTTCTCGAAGGCCTATGTCCCCGGTCCTGAATTTGACCTTAAGCTTTGTTCCTGCACCCATTGGTCCATGTAGGTAATCCTTGAACCCTATTCAACATTCCGTACACTTCTAGACCCTCCTAATCCTTGGATTCTTTCCTTAGATTCTGTTCTTTTCTCTCGGCACAAGCCACAGATGTCTTCTCCTTGAACCCCTGTAGACCCTCCGTTTCCAGCGTTTCATCTTCGTCGATGTCGAACCCCTTCCATACGTCCTCTACAACCTTGACCCATTCCGTGGGTTGTCTACCCCTCTTTTTGTTGGCCCACTTCGCCTCCCATACAATTCTCGGCAACCTCTCCTCTCCCATCCCGCACATGCGGTACTGTAATGTCAGCTTCCTCGCGTCTCTTCCCGACCGTAGGGATTGGATCCCCAATTCTGCCCTGACGGCTGCATTACTTGTGCGCTTGGAGCATCCTAGGATGTTCGCTGCTTTCATTTGCGCCGCCTCGAGTTGTTTCACTACCTTCTTATTTCCTTCCCATACTTCTCCGGCGAGAGGGGGGGGGGGAGTTAGAGGATCATGGGAGAATGTTAGAAAGGGAAAGCGAGTATGAGACAGGGAGACACGGATAGAGATGAAGCCGGGGGGGGGTATTCTGCCGCATTGCGGACCGCGACTGCCGCAGCGGACACACCAACACTCTTGTATGGCACACAAACGATGCAGCAGTAAATTAGTCTTTATTTATGAACCAAACAATGAGCTGCTTGCCAGTGGTGCTCCGGAAACTTACCCAGAAGGATATCGTTTTGTTTGCCCCCCTCCCGGCGTTGCCCATTGTCTTTACCCCATCGCCGCCATCACTCCCTCCGCCCGACTCTGAAGACACATCGAAATGGTGGGAGGGTCTGCTGGCATTGCGTATCAGGGGAACTGGAGATCCGTCTGATCCGTTCAGTCCATGACGGCCACCCGACAGAAGCCCGCTCCCGTCGCCGCTAGCGTTGCTGCTGTTCCTGTTGCTGCTGCAGCTGCTGCTGCCGCTTCGAGTGTCCGTCTTGCCTGTCCCTCCGAGGGAGCTATGGAGAGGCCAGTATGGTGTTGGTCCGCAGTCACCAGTCTCCATGTTTCGTTTCGACGGCCGCACCCCGTCGCCACGTGCTGTGCCTACTTCCGGCGGCTTACGAAGAGAACAAGCCGGTACAGAGAGATCAGTCCGCAGGGAGGCGGTGGTCGTAACGAAAGATGTACTGTACGGCGGGGTCAGCCGCTGTTGCAGAAGACAGGGTTCTCAAAGATGCAACAGCTGGAAGCTTCTTCACAGGAGATGGTCGTAAAACCGCTCGTCGGGATGTTCCTGCTGGCGTGTGACAGGTTCGCGTTGCTCAGCGAAGCAAACCTTGACAGGATCATTCAAAGAAACAAGTGCGCGCTCGTTCCCATGATATGCTCTCGAACTCGGCCCTGGCTCGTCATCACTGCTGTCACCATCTCCTCCGCTGGAGATTGCAGTTCCCCTTCTCCATCAAAGGAGCAGAACCAATAATGCCGCTGTTTTTGGTTCCGAGGGCGTGACAATCCGGGGAGATTTAATACCGTCCCCCCCTGGGCGCCCAGGTTACCACACGCGTGTGTATCCGGACCCGCCTGCTGTGCTTCACATACGCAATACACATCGTACAAGTCACTCAGCGCATTGTCCGGACAGAGGTGAGCAGCCTCGTGAGTTTGACGTCGGGAGGCGGTAATAAAACCAAGGTTGTACACACGGAAGGAAGATCCGAACAAAATAGGATATTCGCAGCAACCTGCAACATCCCGTCCGCCATACGCGTTTCCCCTTCTTGTCCTTTGTCTCGAACAGCAAAAACGCGGCAGGGACGGGAGCAAGCTGTGGGCGCAGCTCCATGACTGCACCCGTCTTCCCCTACCAAGAAACTCGGGGAGGAGACTTTTCTGCACTCCGCAATTGGCTGAGTCAAGGTGGAACAATCGATGCGCCGTTGATGCGCTCCGTCGCCGAAACTTGGACCCCTCTTGCGCTAGCCTGCGCCGAGGGGCGTGTCGAACTTGTCCGCGCGATGGTGGAGATCGGAGGCGCCCGCCCCTCTTTTTCGGCGCAAACGAAAGTGTTGGCTAGTTTGTCACCTTTACACGTCGCTTCACGCTATGGCCACGCCGGTGTTGCGGCGGTTCTGCTAGAGCTCGGCGCCGTAGTCGATGCCCGCGACACGTTTGGGTTCACACCACTTTGCTACGCAGCAGGAAACGGCCACCTGAAGACGATCGAGGTGCTGCTTGAGGCTGGGGCGGACACCTCTTCGTCCTTTGAAGCACCCTACGCAGCGACCCCGCTGGATATGGCAGAGATGGCGGGCTTTGATGACGCCGCGACTCTGCTCAGAAGCCGGGCTCTGGCGGGAGTGGACGGGGGCGAGGCGGTCAGGAGGAGGAAGGCGCTCGCCTCGTGGCTCGGGGTGCTCGGGTGTCAGGAGTTCCTTGGTCGGTTTTTAAGGGCCGGTTACGACGACCTGCAGTTCATGGCATCACATGGGTTGACCGAGGCAGACTTAGACTGCGTTGGAGTGCCAAGCGAAAAGCTTGGGTTGAGGAAGAAACTTTTGGCGATGCACGGCGTCGAAGTGTACTTGGACGCCGATGGTGGTAGCAGCAGCAGCAGCAGCAGCAGCAGCAGCAGCAGCAGCAGCAAGAGAGAGGAGGCCTCGGCGGCGGAGACAGCAAGCGAAGGCGGGAGTGAGAGTAGTGGCAGCGGTGGAAGTAGTGATGATGAGACGGGCGACGAGCGAGATGCATCCAGCAATGATGGTGATGAAACTGGTAGCAGTAGCGGCAATGCGAGCGATAGTGGAAGCGATTCGGGAAGGGACGCATAGATAACAATGAGATGCCTACTACGTACTGTAGTTCCATCGATCGTGCTGCAGCACTGCCACCTGCTATAATTCAGGTCTCGCCGCTTTTCTCTGCGACGAAGTTGTGCTGGATGAGGAAGGTCATGACGACAACTCTTTGCTATCAGATGATCAAAACCGTTCGGTGTACGATACCACAGCTTTCACTGGTGCGTCACGGTGTACTTCACGAGCAGCAAGATGAGTTTGCTCGAGGCGAAGGCAGGAGCTTCGGGGTTTTGGTCCCTCGATCGAGCAGTTCACGGTCTATCGAGGCCGTCATTACCACCCACCCCGTTTCGCATACACGAAACGAAGCGGGGGGAGAGTGATCATTCCTCCAGAGTATGACGGCCGTATGTTTAAGCTATGTCGGGCGTATCCACGGGTGGCCTCTTGTCGCACAAGGTGTGCATGCAACGATAACGTCTCGCGATCCAACATGTAGATATACACACGACATAATAATCATTTTCAATTCGGTTCCGGAAGGGCCAACGGGTTGTTGAACAAAACATTCATGTCTCGGTCTTCGCCCAACATTCACTCACTCATCATCTTGCTTCGAATATACTATAAATGTAGAGGCCCAGCCAACTCGCGCACAACCTACGCATGCATGTACGTAGTGGTCAAGCAAAAACAAAATTCGCGAGAATAGACGCTTGCACACAGGGTGCACAGTAAATTGTGTTCCAACGCCAACAATCAAACACTGGCCTGAAGGCTCCAAGTGTCATGCAAGCCTGCCTGCGGTGAGATGCGTCTGAAACAGCCTTGCTTTCGATCTGAAAAGTGTGCCTCCTGCTACCGGCACAGTGAAACAAAGTGGTATCTATATCTGTCTGTGGTCAATGCGTTGCCTCACAGCATACGCCGCAGGAGCACTGGGTTAGGAGATGGGGGTGGGGAACATTTCCAGCAAATCTCCGAGGGGCCGACAACGACTACGCAGGTGGCCAAAGAGCACCACTCATTACATCCTCTCCACGATGAGTAATTTTTGCAATGTAAAGCTGGGCTGTCACACCGTCGGAAAGCTCTGAGGAGTTTGTATACATACAAAACATACATATTCTACATATCCCACCGAGGGGTTCTTCGCGCCCGGAGGGAGCCTCAAGCAATATGCGATACAAATTCTCGGAGGGCGACGGATGAAGCTATCCCCTCCGTAGTGGAACACGTACGTGCTGTTAGTGAACGCTCGCGAATTTTCATGACACGGGCACATCCAGAAACCTATCGTCACTTCGCCTATGGGTGAAGTTTGGCGGTCCCTGGGCCATCCGGCTGTACATAGGCCGAGACTGGGACCCTGCCTGACCATGACCGCAGATTGTATACGCGCATCGGAGGATTGTACCGGCAACACCCCTTAGGCTGCTAGGTTGCTGTCCAGGACCGAGTTCCAATGCTGTGGTCGTGGGGGCGAGCGGTCAAACCAAGCCGGTCAAACCAAGCCCTCGAGGGCCGGTCTGATGGTCTTCGAGGGTCGGTCTAGTACGTCTCAGAATCACGCCCGTACGGGTTGGCGAACTGCTTGCTGCTACTGCCGCAAGCCTTGCCTCGAGGAACCGGTGATCGGGGATCGTAGTGCTCAGAACCAAACTCGTGAGGGTCGGCGAGGGCATCAATCGGACATTCAGGGAGCGGCGAGCGAAGTGTGCGTCCTCAAACGAGCTTCGTTGGAGGTGGTGAGCACGGGCTGCGAACCGTACCCGAAGGGCAGGTCAGTGGTGATTGCTCTGCCTCAAACCAAGCTCGCTAGAGTCCGTACGCTACGGCATCATCAGCAAGAGGAGTAGCATGATGTGTTGCACCGGCACACGGCCGCAACAGGCGAAACGCGCGTGCATTCAGCGGCACACTATGTATCGTAAACTGCATTCGGTTAGAAAGATGTTGTGATTCAGAACACCGGGTAGTAAGTAGAGGAGGCACAAATAACTGGTCCGAGGCAAATCTGTTGGTGCAGCAGCAGGTGACAATGAATCCTGGCGACCAACACCATGACACTGCAATGGCGTTACAGCAGTAGTGTGGCGACAGACAAAATGACCGGGGGGGCGGAGAAACCGAAAAACCCACCCATTATCTGCGGCCACTACATGGTCTATTCGATAAAGTTACACCATTAGACTAGTCAGCGCTGACTAGTTTAATGGTGTAATTTTATCGAATAAAAGATATGCTCAAGAGCTCATTTGCATCCGGCTGGATCACATTTTTGGGGTTTGAATCCCGGCTACTCACTTTCCCAAGCACCATTATGTTCTTTTCAGTCAGCGCCTGGCGAGGGGTCCGTCCCCGGAGATTCAAGCCGTAAACCCCAAAAATGTGATCCAGCCGGGTGCTAACGAGCTGAGCGTATATCCTTTATTCGATAAAGTTACACCATTAGATTAGTCAGCGCTGACTAGTTTAATGGTGTAACTTTGCGCTGTGTTCCCTGTGCAGGCCACATGTAAATGTACCTACGCAGATGTTTTTGTGCTAGTCTAAGCACCAACTGGTATCTATCACTGATATAAATCATCAGTGTATAGGCTTAAACAAACTCGAAATAAGTCAAGTACCCAGTATTTTATTTTATTTGTTTCTGATTATATTTTGTTTTCTTGTATTTTATCGCTCTGCTGACCCTTGGGGTCCATTTTATTTTGGTATACCTTTTCTAGGTACGTTAGCCTGTGACCACGGAAATTGGCCGAGTCAAGTGATGGATTAGTACGGAGAGATTGAGACAGAAGGAGGTACTGGATAGAGAGACCGGGATGGTTTTTAATGTGAAGACAACAACAACAACAACAACCCAGCTGGTTTTCCTCTACTCGCTGTAAAGACTTCAACACATCCCCTTCGAGTGTAGTTATACCTCGAACGGGTAGTCTTTCTGTGTGTATATTTGTTTCTCCTAAACTTTATCGGATATGGTCTACAGCAGCAGTAGTAAAACCAAGCACAAGACTGCTGTGCGCAAGCTGCAGTTGATCTTGTTGGTTTGGGTGCGCAAGAGGTTTTTCTCTCTCTAGAGCACGACAGCAAACGAAGACCACAGGGACAGGATGTCGCCTGAAGCAACCTCCACGACGGTGTGCCCGGACTCGCACGCTGCCGAGCTCTGATCGTCAGGCGGCGACAAGTGTGGGGGCTGAACCCATACAACACAATCCAAGTTCGACATGTTCATTTCGAACACATATTTGAACGTTGAACCGCCCATCGATCCACTGCCTGAGCTGCTGTAAGTCTCCCCTTCTTTTCAAACATGCCTCGAATCGGTGCACCACATCTGCTGATGAGTGGGCAGTCAAAAGAGGGCACAGGCCCCGGAGCTTAGAACATCACCAGAGGGTCTCCTGGTCGGGAGCGTGCAGCATGCAGCGTTATCGTCACCTGGGGGCTGGAGAGCTGAGAGCGTTCGGAGAGGGGAAATTTACAAAGCTCCCCTGCCGTACTTGTATTGCGCGCCGAACTTATTGAACTCCCTGTATTTGTTCTCCCAGCGCTGCTGCACGCTGGATTCTGCTGCTCCAAGACCATCTGGTCTCTCGCACCAACACCGGCGAGCCGATGAAGACTCGGTTGCTGCGAGGTGTGCTGCTTGCAGGGATCTTCTGCGGTTGGACAACTGTTGCTGTGGATGATGTACCAACGGTGAGAATACCCCGAGTCCACCCTCTCGCTGCTGAGCTCCGGAATGCGGAATGTTCCCACCAGTCTCTGGAAAGGTGTGCTGCTGCACAAGCACACAGCTTGCGGTGTTTGTTTAGGATTAGGATTTGATGACTGCTCTTGAATCCCAAGCTGCAGCAGGAGGTTCGACGTCTGTTGGTCTGTTATTTGCAGTAAGGAATGCGTGGTAGGTTGGTGGCTACTGCTGCGTTGTTGGCTCACTTCTACTTGTATGTAGGCATGTGGTTGGACCGAAGTTCCATGTCTGCAAGTCTTTCTGTGGGTAGACTGCCGAAGGAGGTAGTCACATGTCGCCCTGTATACCCCATTTGGTTGCTGCTGCACACTTTCACGGCGTCCGTTCGATGAGGCAACGTAGCTCGCACTTCTCTGGTCGCCTGGTTTGAGCTTGTGTGTCGTATCTTTTCGTTTTGCTCACTTCCACATCATGAATGTACGCGACACGTGTGTCGGTGACAGAAGGAATGTGATCACCCCGAGGTGCTCGAGCGTGATTTGCGTAACGAGAAGAAAAAGATATGCCAAGCGCCCAGCAGGTTTTGTCCCTCACGCACCACTGCAAAGACTTTCAACCACCCCCTTCGACTTGGGCGTTGTGGTTTTCCAGTGATTGTACATATTCTGAAAAAAAGATGTCATCCAATATCCAAGTCTTGGTTGTTGACGAACATCAGCACGGAAAGTTGACATGGTTGGAGGTCCCATTTACCCAAATGTACTCCACGGTTTGTCTCAAAAACAAATATCCTGGCGCAGGGTACCGGACATCGCCCCCGAATAATGGAACTGCTGGACAGCATAGTAGAACGTCCGCTACTTTCAAGGAATAACCATTGATGTTCCAGACCCTCGTCATTGCCCGACCCCTTCCCCACCCTGCTGCTGCCTTTCTTGAGCCAGGCCCATGACGGCCAAGAACAAGCCGGCGCGCCCTCCTCCTGCGCCGCATCGTCCTCGGGGACGCTGTTCCAGTGGAACCGGGTACCGATTGAGGCGGCGGCGGAAGGGGTAGGGCCCGAAGGTGGTAAAGAGGGCACGAGGATGGCGCTCACGGCCGACGAAGGCGCTCTTGAGGCGCTGTCTCAGATCGATAGCAAGGTACACGCAAGGCCTGCAGTATCTTCACCACCGACATGTTTTTTTCTCTTTTTGCGGACTGATTAGGTTTGCGTCGAGGCCCGCCCATGAATATTCCGTCCAAACGACTTTGTACTTGCCCCGCGTCCCCCCTGCCTGTGTTGCCAATCCAAGCAACGAGTTGAGCATTTTTATGCTTCACACCCTACCATCCGCGTCCCAACCTCCTCCTGGCCTTGGGCGTAACCGCGCCGCACGTGTGCGAGAGAGACGGAGAGTTTCGATGGCAAAAAAAGAAAGCTTCTATAGCGCGGCGTGTATTTTTATGCTCATGTTTCTCCTTACAAGGTTCCTCTCGCTTCGGACACACAGAGCAGGGCACTCCGGAAAATCGTCGCCTTACCATGCCTTTCCCCCCCCCCCGCCCCCCTCCCGCCTCGCTGCCGTGCCGCGCCTCTCGTGCTTGTGTGGTCCCGCCCAAAAAACGAAAAAACAGCTGGCCGTCGTTTCCATCGCCGGTCCTTACAGGTCGGGCAAGTCCTACTTCCTTAACTTCTTGGCCAACCACGTGCTAGCCAATGGTTTCGACCCCCCGAAAGACCCGGGAAGCTTTGACTTCGAACGCATGTTTCCGACGTCGCCCACATTGAATACCGAGGGCGGCGGCGGCGGCGGCGGCGAGGCGGGTCTGTGTCGTTTCCAGCTGGTGCCGGCGTGCGCAAAGCCCCTGCCCGACCAGGAGGGCACGGCCCTGCTTCTGTTGGACACGCCCGGACTGATGACTCCTCGCAGGTGCGCTGCTTGTGCGTGCGTGGGAGGGGGGGAGAACGAGAAGAGGGAGAGGGGGAAGGAGGGAGTGGTGGGATATAGCAGTGAGAGCGGTGACGTGGAGAGGGCGACGTTAGCATCCACTCGCGAAACTGCACAGTCAGCACGACTCAGCAGCGGTAGCCGTATGGGTGCACCCTGTTTTCTAGGTGCCCAGCTGCTTGAGCACGTCTCGAGCACAGTAGTTTTACCTCGCCAATTGCGTTGTGACTTTGCGGTTTTGATTAGAGTAACCGAAACCAAAGAAGCCCATCCTTTGCCTAGTGCCTGCTAAACAGACGTACAAGGCTCCCTCAAGTTCCATGTGATAGCTCACATCGAGATAGGGCCGGCGTACCTCCCACAGATGTAGGCCGTCGTGTGTGTGCTGAGAGAGAAGGAACAAGGTATAGAGTGATCGTCTACAGCGGTAGCCAAGTGCTCAAAGTGAACGCCCGTCGCATCCTTTCCTCTTGTTGGTCTACTCGAAGTGTTTTCTACCGCCTTTTCCGGGAACAGGAAATGTGTGTTGGCGTGTGTACGATTAGCATTGATTTCGCTACAAGCTACAAGCCACGTCCCAAAGAGCAAACCCGCACACCTGCTCACTCTCGTGTGTCCGTGCCCCCGTGCGTGCGGTGGCGCAACGGCGACGACAAAAAAAAAAAAAAAACAGGTCCGCCGTGCAGGAGGCGCAGGTGCTAGCGCTCCTTCAAACCGTCAGCTCGGTGGTTCTGTACAACACGCAGGCGGTCGTACGCTGGCCTGACATCGAAGCCCTGCTAATGTGAAGAGACGTGGAGAAGGAAAAGCACAATGTCCAGTAGGAAAGAGTAGTCTTAGTTGGTGGGTTGTGAGGGTAACAAGTGGCTCGGAGACAGTGTGTGTGCGTGGTTGGGGGGCGTGGCTGTGGACGTGTGTAGAAGAAGCATCCCACACGAGTGTCGTTTGGGGAGTCGACAGTTTTCTTTTTTTTGTGTATGTGTGTCGCGCTTCGCCGTCGCAGAGCTGCACGCACCGGGTTGTTGTGCGAGCGTCTCCTCGGAATTTGTGCGTACCAGGGTCTGTGTATTTGTTTGATGCTATTCGGGACCCCAGACGTATGGCCAAGGGCCCCTACTTGCATCGATCGGATATGAGGAGAAAAGGGAAATTCCCGGCGGGCTGTTTATCTCCGTACAGGGCGGACTACAGTATCGCGACGACTCTTGTGCAGAGTGCCCCCAACCGCAGACCCCCCTTACNGACATCACCAGTGTAAAGGAGATGTGTATAAGAGACAGCCCCTGTGTTGCGCCTTTCTGCGGCTGCCGCCACCCCGGCCGTGTGTGTTTTTCGTTTGATGTGTCGTGCTATCTCTCTCTGACAGAGCCATGGATGCGGCAGCCTCCGTCGACGTGCATTTGTCGTTGTTGATGGGAGATGACGACGGGACGCCGGCTGGCGAGGAGGGAGAGATAAATCGCCCTAGCCTCTTGTGGCTCATCCAGCAGTCGACCATGAAGGTGAGGAGGGAGATCCTCGTCGTCAATGTTGGTGATGATGCTGGCTGCTGCTGCTGCTGCTGCTGCTGTTGTCGTTGTTTATTGTGGTGTATTATGTTGTATGTTGTGGTGTATCATGTTGTTGTTGTGGTGTATCATGTTGTATATTGTGGTGTATCATGTTGTTGTGGTGGTGTATCATGTCGTTGTGGTGGTGTATCATGTTGTTGTTGTGGTGTATCATGTTGTTGTGGTGGTGTATCATGTTGTTGTGGTGGTGTATCATGTTGTTGTGGTGGTGTATCATGTTGTTGTGGTGGTGTATCATGTTGTTGTGGTGGTGTATCATGTTGTTGTGGTGGTGTATCATGTTGTTGTGGTGGTGTATCATGTTGTTGTGGTGGTGTATCATGTTGTTGTGGTGGTGTATCATGTTGTTGTGGTGGTGTATCATGTTGTTGTGGTGGTGTATCATGTTGTTGTGGTGGTGTATCATGTTGTTGTGGTGGTGTATCATGTTGTTGTGGTGGTGTATCATGTTGTTGTGGTGGTGTATCATGTTGTTGTGGTGGTGTATCATGTTGTTGTGGTGGTGTATCATGTTGTTGTGGTGGTGTATCATGTTGTTGTGGTGGTGTATCATGTTGTTGTGGTGGTGTATCATGTTGTTGTGGTGGTGTATCATGTTGTTGTGGTGGTGTATCATGTTGTTGTGGTGGTGTATCATGTTGTTGTGGTGGTGTATCATGTTGTTGTGGTGGTGTATCATGTTGTTGTTGTGGTGTATCATGTTGTTGTTGTGGTGTATCATGTTGTTGTTGTGGTGTATCATGTTGTTGTGGTGGGGTATCATGTTGTTGTTGTGGTGTATCATGTTGTTGTTGTGGTGTATCATGTTGTTGTTGTGGCTTGTAGTTGCGGTGACAGAGTCATCGAGGGAGCCCTGCGCAAAGAGGCGCCAGGCACAACAGCAAGGTTCTCCTCGAAAGGACAGGAAAGCACGATTTTGCTGCTGTCGAAGGGGCAGAGTTGACGGTCATTTTAGGTGTTGCGACCCTCTTGGACGCGATACGAACCGGCAGCTTTTCTCCGCACCTGTTGTGTGCATCATTTCTATTGGCTTCCATCTCGGAGCAGGGCCTCCTCATCGCTCTCATCCTTCACCCTAACCCTAACCTTAGGCGCTGATGAGGCAGCAGTGTCGCCTAGATTTGTGACGTTTGCGTGAAGATTGTGGCGTTGCGAAACCATTTGAAGCCCCACAGCTCGACCCTTCTGCGACTCGCCAAACAGAAGACAACTAAACCACCGTTCACCTGGCGGCTAAATCGATCGCTTCGCTGCACGAGAAGGTCCCTTACATGTGCTAGCCGGCTTTTGCTAGGGGCTGGCTCTTGGGAGCACAACACGACACGCGGCCTCCCCGATAAGTAGGGCACACGCAATCCCTGCACCTCCGCCTCGACAGCAGTACATGCGTGTCGTTGTCCTTGTCCTTGTCCTTTTACCCCCCCGTTCCGGCATGATGCTTGACGCCCCTTTTGTGCTTTCGTCGTCGTTGCTGCGTTTGGGCGATCCTGCCGCTGCTGCTGCTACTGTTAACCACCCGTCGGGCATATGGCGGGCGGACAAACGGATGTGTGACAACGAACAATGCCACTGCTGTCGGTGACACCCTTGCGGTGACAGATGGTGGATGGAGAAGGACAGGAACAGAGTCCCACAGCTCACTTGGATGGCGCGCTTGGAGTCTCGGGGGTCGGGACGGTCAAAGACGCCTTCGACAGGTATGATGAGTGTCGCATGTGCGGTGCCCCCTTTCGTGGTGCCTCCTGAAATCATTATGTATTACGACGAAGTCCTGGTTGCGGGGTCCCTTTGGGGTACCTACCTACTGAGCCTAGAGTCACGCATGCTGTACAGTGAGGCTTTTTCGAGGGGCGGGGTGAAGCGAGGGGGGGGTGTACTCATAGTCGTGCATGCCGTGTCGTTAGACCATTGACCTCACATCCCTACAAAGCCGGGACGGAGCACGCCGGGTTCTCACCTGACCAGGCTCTCACATCATCAAGCGAGAAGCTCCGTGAGGTATTCGGCGAATCGCATGAAGGGTGCGCTGCATCCCGCTAACGGTGTTCGGCATCTTGTGTTTACTTGCGTACGGATGACAGCTGCGTATGACTTAATTTTTTTTCTGGTGCTTTCACTTCCAGCGACAGTGGTAAGCACTGTGTAACTGCCTCGAGGGTGCTTGACCAATTTAGCACAACGTGGTGCGATCATCCCCTTTGCGCGGAGTGAGGGTTCTCGACCCCGCACAACAAAGTCTACTCGGCCACCATTCATGATTACCGCAACAAAAAAATCCAAAGGCAAAAAAAAGCCATAACCTGTTTGCCGAGCTCACGAAGTGATCGGCTTGTTTTACAACATCGCTGCCAAGCGACGAAAACCCATCGTGGCAAACACCGGGGGGGGGGGGGGGGGGGCGTACTC